GTAGAATGAAGCCCTCATGTTAATTGATGCTGCTTACCAGAGATTGCCAGTGTTCCCAGTAAGGGCAGCCGGTCTGTCCTGACCACCCCCACTTTTCTTAGACACCTATAGATGTCTTTACAAAGACAGAGAGAGAGGAGAGTGTAATTGCCCCCTTTTACTCAAAAAAACCCTAAAAGCCATCTTACGTCTCTTGCCAGAGTAGTGTGACATTCCAGATCTCTTTTTTTCTGCATAAGAATGCAAATTTCTATTCCCTACTTCATCAGGCTGTTGGCATGTGAAGTTTTTATCAGCTTGGAAACTTAGGTAATCTCTTCTTCCCTGTGATGCTGTAGAATGTGTTTTGCTTGAGCCACCAAAGAGAAGGGTGGAGAGAGCTGCAGATTACCATTTATCTGGAGTGCAACATTGGCATGTCGCCTTTGTCTACTTCCAGTATACTTGAGATATGTGGGCTAGATCTGGCTAGGAGTCGTCTTTGGCTAATTTTTTTATTAGAAAAGGCAGACATTAGTTTTTGACAGGAAGGTTTTGTAGGTCTGAGAGAGACAAAACAATAGGAAGCAATGTATTGCTGAACAGCCAGACCTCCTTAATTGTGATTACTTTTTCTTGTCTGCATTACTAGAATGGGGATCTTGCATTACCTACGTTCTTTGAGTGCCAAGATCTCTTTTCCTATATGTGTTTCACGTATTCTGTTGTTCCAGATTTCATCCTAATACAGAATGGGGAAACATCTAGAGATCTTAACAATCTTGAGGGCAAAAGAATACATTCTTTGTCTAGCACCAGTACTTTCCCTCTTCCGACAGCATACGTAACAACTATATCAACTTCCACCATGCCTTTTTCCTTCCTGTCTAGGGCAATACATTTTTATTGCACTCACCTTTGTTTAAATTTTTAAAGGACTGAACCCAGCTTTTAAAATAGGCATACAGGATGTATTCTTTCCATGCACTCAGTAAAGGATCTTTTTTTCTTTTTATGGTTACTATTTGATAGGAAGGGCATTGCCTGCAAGACAGATAGTTTATGGGTAACATTTTCAGCATAAACATAATTTAAACTGAAAAGTTCAAAGAAACTTTAGCACCTAAACCAAAACAACCAAGAAAGCAGCAAAATATGGAAAGGGAGAACAAGTAAGTAACATAAAAAATCTTATATATTGAAATATTATATGGAAAGAAATTTCCCTAAACCAGAAATAGTTTTTTATTCTGGGGTAGAGATGTCAAGTAAAGAGCAAAGGATAGGGAGAATAGAACTGAGAACAGCATCTTTGCTGCTGTGTGAAATGTTGGTTTCTTAGGACATTCAAATGTAAGAAAAAAACATAGGAAATAGGCTCAAGTGTTCAAAATGAGTTTTTGGATGGAGATGAAAGGAAAACTGATGTGCATGGAAAGCAAAAGGGTTATTCCAGCTGGAAACCTAAATGCAAATTGCATCCTTAAAAAAGATGGATAGCATTGTATTTCTTTTTAAGAAATTTACATCTAAAATGAACATATAAGATGAGTGACAGCAGTTGGATTTTGTGATGCTGCTCTGAAGATGAAATGTGGCTGGGAATTGAAGTAATTTTGTGTTATCAGGCAGGCAGAGCCTCTTGGTGCATGACTTTCTGAAGGTAAAATTCCTCTTGTCATTGTGCTAGGGAAATAAGGTTGTATGACTTCTGTGCTCTGTGACTTATCCTCACTGCAATTTTATTTTTTAATAAATTGACTGCCTTTGAGTTGAGGAGAAAGAGTGACTTCAGAAGTGAGGAACAACTTGGAATGAGTGTGACAGAGAATAATTTTGTGCGATTTCCTATTTAACTTATATAGGGAACTTTGTAACTACAAAGTTTTGTTTGAGAGAAGATACCTTCCTGTAGTAGATGAGGGAATCAGGTGTATCCATATGGGATCCTGCATAGGATCCTGCAGGACGATATGCAAAATCCTGTGAAGGACAATGTGCTCCAGTCCAGCATCTGTAGGATGAAGGATTATAGATCTTAGTGAAATGAGGCAGAAATTTCTTTGACCATTACAAATCTGCCGTTGACCCTCTGTTGCCATCCCTTTCTCGTGTGAATGTACACTCGGAATTTTGTTGTCTCCACACAGAAACCTCGTGTCTGCCTGTTTCTATTTGACAGCTTGCAAGTTTTGCAATGGCAAGAGCAGTGTTAACCACCTGAATGGTACGCAGAAGTAGCTGAATGATGCGCAGAAGAAGTAGCAAGCTCTGGTTTGTAAGCAGTTTAAGCTGCCCCTGCTTGTTTCTTGCACTACAAAGCACTGCACAGTGTTGTTTAACTTCTGTACTTTTGCTACGTGGTACTCTAGTTATACAAACCACTAAACTGCTGTCAGATATTGGCTGGTCTGTTACATTTGCGTATTACCTTTTATAACGAGAGGTCAGTGTTTGATGGTTTTCTTGTGAGAGGGATCGTCCTGCTTTGAGTGACCTTATACAGAAAATTCTGGCATTTGTATTTTTATTCTTTTTTTTAATCTCTTTCTTTGCCCACAAGACTCCTTTTTCTACTCTATTAGCAGCTCTTTTAGTTCCAAACTGCTGGAATTTTTTCCTATGGGGAGTTAGAAATATAGGTTGTTTCCAGGCAGCCCACATTTTATTCTCAAGGCTTTGGCACTGCAACACTTTCAACATTGCATCAGAATTAGATTTTTAATTTTTTTTTAAATTAGGTGAGAGTTGGAGAGTGGAGAAAGCTCTTATAGTAGGTCAAGTTCTTTACATCTAGAAACCATAGCATAAAGAGAGAGCCAGATCAGAGAAGCTTGTTTCACTTCCTGTCATGCAGTTTCCAAAATGCCTGAATATGCATAGAAGTGGGCTGTCTTCTTAAAATAGTCCTAACCTTAAAATAGTCCTCATTATGCATGCAGTTGAGAAGTCTTTTTGACTGAACGTCTGTCCGTGCAGCTATTGTGAGTATTGTACTAGGAGGCAAAGAGCTGGTACTGGCACTGCTCTGCTGAGCCCCTCTCCCTCCACATGCAGCACTGCAGCACATGCTGTGGGACGTTGGCGCTGGCAATCAAGAGGATAGTGGTACTGTTGTAAAAGTGGGTTTGCCATTACCGCTTTTATATTTGAAAATGAATATTGTATAATAGTAAACTTTTGAATCTGGCCTTTTGAAAGGATGCCAGGAGGTTGCAGCTGGGATGTCTGACATGGATCCTGAAGTGGTGGAGTATTAACTTACATTAAGTAAGGTTTAGTTGTGGCTCAGTGGGTTCTTTCCTCAGTGGGATCTATGCTGATTTATTGTGCATAACAAATACCTCTCAGCTCACTCAGCATTGTATCTTGATTTTTGGTTTTTTTTTCCCTTTTTTGAGAAAGATAGTATTTTTTGTATGGGGAATATAGATTTGTATTACAGTACTTAAACATGTCTCTTCTACATTCTTTTTTTTTCCCCATCACCATAGCTTATAAAGCCAGGGTTAGGGGATACACTTACCGATAATTTGGGTAAGGTATAAGGAGGGGGAATAAAGGGAAAGCAGTCTGATGCATTACTTTCTCCATCTGGTCATTAGAGGAAAGAGAGTTCATTTCTGACAGTGCCTAAAGGAGGAACCAATATTGTAGACATGGTGGTGTAAGAATACCAAGAGGGTGAGATTTAGATACGAAAGGGATATATTTCATTAAAGCGATTGATAGAATTAGAAAGTACAGACAACCGTTTTGGAGCTTTTTTTCGGGAGTGGTGTTTTCAATAGGATGTGTATGTTGTAAGCACATGTGCATGTTAATTACAGCATGCTGGATACGGGGTTTGGTTTCTTAAAGGATTCTTTTAATATTTTTCAACATTTCTTATCTTGAAATCTCAAGCCATTGTGTGGATAATTAAATGATAGTGAATTGAAACAACTAGTGGCAAATATACATCACTTTTCATGAGGTGCTTCTGGATCATGGCACCTTTGCCATAGTGGGAGTGGAAGCTCTGAGTTCTCCACTCATATGTTGCAGAAGCCAACAAAAATGTAGAGGAGCTTTGCACACATATAGCAGTCTGCCAATATCCTGCATAATGTGTTGGAAGTGTGAAAAAGAAACATGCCTTTGTAATATCATCTCTGTTTATTTCCATTTTTATATTTCAACATCATGTTTTTTCAAATTGAAATAGTTTTTTTTACAGGGCCCTTTTGTTACAGTAACTCTTGAAATGTGTTGTTTTCCCATCAGTACACAATATAGGATGATAAAAATAACAAAAACGCTAAAGACTAATAGAGAGTAATGTCTTCAGGATATCAGAATTCAGAAGCACTGGCACAAGAAAAATGTTGTATGTTATCTTTGGCATTCAGTTTAAACTGGTATTATGACACAGACAAGAAAATCTTGACTGCAGTGTTAATATCTTTTGCTGGAGTAGGCAATTTCTCAATAAGAAAGTGAATTATTTACTGTAATAAGAAAATTTAAATACAAACATTCTCTTACCTTATATACAAAGCAGCACTATAAATGTGAATGCGCCTTTCTCCTTGAGCTGCTAAGGAATCACTTGCCTTTTTCCTGGGGAGCAAAAGTTTAAACAAAAAGTAAGTCTTTGTTCACTCAAAGCCAGGTTGTGCCATGTGTGATTTTTTATTAATTAGTAAGACTTTTTAAAGGAGCAGGTACTTAAAATAACACCACTTGTTAAGCTGGTGTTTGTGGCTGTCAGATGTGAAATGTCTTTAAAATGAAGTTTTGGATGTATTCAGTGCCTTAGAAGAGATGAGGTCTGAGCACTGGACTCCTAAATTTTAATTGTAGCTTTGGTGTTCTCCCGCCTAAAAGCTGGAATTTGATTTTTGTCTCCAATTCTGTATGTCTAAAGTGGGGGGAGATAACTTTGTCCTATCTTGTTAAGTCATTAAAGTTTATTAAGTGTTTGAATACAACAAAACTCTGTTATAAATGCTAAGTATTGTCTGGCTTTTTCTACACAGTGTTGACAATTTTGGACTTGGTCTTCTGCTTCAGACTAAGCAGATAAAACGTATGGTGTCATCATATGTTGGAGAGAATGCTGAATTTGAACGCCAGTATTTATCTGGCGAGCTTGAAGTTGAGCTCACACCTCAGGTAAGGAGCGTCTCTAGGAGACTGGTGATTTCTTTTCATCTAAAATGCTGAGTAGGATAGTGCTTAAGTGCTCTTATAAAATTATTTTGCAATCCAGATGTTTTGCCTCTGTGCAGATGTGCAGTAAAGACAAGTGGCACTTGCTGTCATAGGATCATGGGCTGTAGGCTGCAACGGGTCTGTTAAGAACTAACTGGTTGTATTGTGTGAATTCCTTTTATGGCTTGTTACATTATATTAATTTCAAGTATATATATATATATATGTATATTTTATTGTACAATGATTGATTTTTGGTAGTTCCTCCCAGATTGTAGAAAAACACACGAAGTATGCTCACTGCTGTGGCCCATATAAGGGGAAAAAAGTCAGGGAGTTGTTGAATTCCTGTATTGGTGGCAGCTCGTGTGTGCTTTTGGGGATGTTGCGTGTGCAGTGTCTGCCATCTAGTGGGTAGGAATCAAATTAGGAGATTTCAGTTCATTGTGAGACATAACTCTTTTGGGCTTGTTCATTAAATCCTAACTAAATTAATCTCTGTATAATGTTATGAGCCAATATTTACAACTTTACTTTTTAGCACCATAGTTTTAACTATTTTAGCACTGCCAACTGCTAAATAGCCTGAATGCATTGAGATCTTAAAATCATGAGTATCAGCCACATTCTGTTGCGATCTAGTTTTGTGAAATTAGTACTCTAACTGTAAAGCCTACAGCATGTCAGTGTGTGGCATTTCCAGAGATGACATGTAACTTTTGGCCTTTAAACAGCTATTGATTTAAGTCTCTGGGAAAAGCAACAGTCTTAAGTTTTTGGAGAAGAGACTCTTGGGCTCCATCTCTTGGGAATGTCTCTTAGAATCCCAGAGATGGGCAGAAAAGCTCCTTTTATACCGAGTCAGCTGACATGGAAATAACCAGGCACTTGTCCCTTCTCATGTTTCAAAAGTCACAAATTTCACCTTTCTATCACCTCACAATTTGTTTTTTCCTTCTTTCTACTTAACGTTCAGTGCTTTCATCTAGAAGACCTTGAACTCCATAGACATGTAATTGGCTTTGTGGACTGCACAGACAAGCTATGTAGATCCAGCATGAAAATACTGGGTCTACAGTGTGCAATGGTAAACAATAAGGTGAATTAATGACTTGCTAGGAGATGTGGGGATTTGAAATACTTGTGTCAAGATAAAATAGCCTTTTGGAAAATGCTTTTCAAGTTTGGTATAACTTCAGGCAAAATGGGGGACTGTTGTGTCCTTGTTACACAGTAAGGGAGAGGTCATGGTGAGATCTAGAAATGCTAAGGCTGCTTGGAACACAAGACTTGGTATCATTGCATGGTTCGCATCTGCCTCTTGCCACCATTTTGTAAACCTACCAGAAGTCATTTTGTTTCTTGCAGGATAACTGGGGAAAATGCAACCTATGTTTTGGAGACCGTCAAGCTAGATAATTGACCATAACAGTCTTGTCATGCTTTGAATCCAGAAAAATATAAAAAAAATTTGGGAAAGGACACTAATGAAAAGCAGGCAGACATGTCTTTGGCCATAAGTCCATAATTAAGGCTGATGAGGAATTTCGGCTTTTCATATCTCTCTAGCTGGACATAGAGCAGAGTGCAGCTGGGCTGGTCAAATAGAGTAGAAATGCTGTTCTGTCAGCTTCTTGGTATCCTTAGCACAGGCAACCCAGGTCACTGGACTCCCTCTTCCTTTCTCAATCCGCTATGCGTGGCTGTTCCAACTTTGAGTGAGGTATGAAGTTTTTCTTAAGATGTTGGAGAATGAAACAAACATGTAGGACTGTTATAAAAGAAAAACCTTCTAGCATATGTAGCCAGGTGGGAAAGAGAAAAAGAACTCTGTCTACTCTTCTCAGAGCAATGGATTGGGAAACAAGCTGAAGGAAAGGAGGCACAGCAAAGTGCTAGGGCTTGGGAGTTGTAAGGGAGTTGTGTGACGGTGTGCTCTTGAGCAGTTTATGGCCATGTGTGAAGCATTTCTTGCCATATCCAGTACCAATCCCACAAAGGAGAGTTAAAATGGGAGGAAGAAATAGATGTGATGGTCTGCTGAGTTCAGAAGGAAAAGCTCCAAATGACAGGATATAAAAACAAATTAATGCAAGCCATTCATCAAAGTTTGGTATGTTTTCCCAGATGACTAGTTCTTAAATGTGTTTTCCCATAGGGTACGCTTGCTGAACGTATTAGAGCAGGAGGAGCAGGAATCCCAGCATTTTACACCAGTACCGGCTATGGGACCCTGGTGCAGGAAGGGGGTGCACCTATCAAATACAACACAGATGGCACCATTGCCATTGCTAGCCAGCCAAGAGAGGTAAGAAGTCAATTTGTTGTTAGGAAGCCTTCTGCTTTGAAAAATGAATTTCTTACATATTTCCAAGATAAACAGTAGTTTAAGCACCTCCTGGCCACATTTAACCTTGGTATATTGGATTAACAGGATGGCTGTGGTACCAGACACATTAGTTTTCCTCCCACTGCTCACTTCCGTCCTCTGTGATGTGTTAAAGAAGTTTTTACAGCTTTAGGGTGACTTAGCATCAAGAACTGGTCCAAGAGAAAACCTACCTTGCTGAGTCACTCTTCACTTGACAGTTCTTTGACCATGTTCGCTGTGTATTCAAACAAAATCTTGTACCAGGCCACTGCAGCGCACAGTACGGATTGAGAGCAACCTCCTATTAGTGGGGCACGTGCTCCTTAAATACTGTGGTATGGAGTAAGCAGCTCTGCAGCTGTACGTGAAGCTTTAGCATTAGAAGAGATGGGACATTTTCCTGTTAAACAGGGAAGAGCTCAGTTGACACAGACTTTCAGGAAACACATTTGCCAATAGATGAAATGCAATTTAGTCTGAGTATTTGAAATTGCAAAGAAATAAAAAGAACGTGGCTTCCAAGTGAGAAACAAGGGCTTCATATTGAAATTGGATGTAGAATTGGAGAAGGGAAGACATTTCTCAGTGCCACAACTGTAATTGAAGAAATGGATGGGGCTAATGCTGTATATTCCAATTAGGCTGCAAACGGCATTAAACTCTACCTCAAGTACATCTCTAGGGTAAAGGTAATTTTTCCCCATCCATGATTTTTGTGTATTTTATACATGGCTATTTTCAGTATTTAATTATTAGCCTAGTCTTTTTTTTTCCTTAATTTTCTCACTGAATATGTCATTATGATGTTTCACCATTTGAAGGAATGTTTTATTAAATAGCTTAAAATTTTGATAATATTTTTCTTCTACTTTTAACATTTGTGGAAAAGTCTCTCTTACTCTCCTCAGTCTTTTGGGGGGGCTAATAAAACGACTAGCATGATTTGATCAAATCCATTCTCCAAATCCATTTTGAATGCAAGTATCATTTTATAAAAGCTTAGATCTCCTTTTACAGGACCGAACAACTGACTTCTGATACACTTTTGTCATACTTCCTCCCACTCTCAGAAATTTTAAATAGCTCTCAAATAGTATTTGTGTATACTCTTAACTTCTATATTGTTAAGAGAAATGCTGTTTCATGTTTCTATATAGGATTAAAATAGTAGCTGTTTGTCAGTTATACAGCTTACATATATACATATACACATATATACATATTCTGGCTTCAGGCACAATATCAAATATTGATCATAAAAGCAGAGAAAACCAAATGAAATTAATCTTGTCATATTATGTGATTTGAGTAGTCTGTCTCAAATCTACTTCACTTTACATATGGGGTTTCTGGTGGTGGGCAGTGATTATGAACTTTTTCAACTTTTTCAGTTTTGCTTTAGCACTTTAGTTTTTGGTTAGCTGGTAGATGTGCAGGAAGAAGCATGTCTAATTCCAGTAGATGGAGCAGCAGAAATACGGATCTGATTCTCGTTCTATTTCACTAAACAGAGACACTATGATAAAACTGGGGTTTACAGCCTTTCTGTGTTTCTCTGTTATTATACAGCTGAGCTACAGTTTTTCAGATAAACCTTTATGTAGTACAAAAAGAAGCCTAAATATAATAGTCTGTAAAATTAACCCCATGAAATAAATATTACATGGGAGATATGTTTGAAGAAGCCTACATCTCAATAGTGTACTTTTCTCTGTAGGTGCGAGAGTTTGATGGTCGTCACTTCATTCTGGAGAAGTCGATTACAGGAGATTTTGCTCTTGTGAAGGCATGGAAGGCTGATCGTGCAGGAAACATCATTTTCAGGTATGACTTGTTTACCAGTGGGAGAAGATTCTTTAATGGTTTAGATAATAAAAGAGAAGGAGAATCTTGTCTCCTGTGTGCTGGCAAAATAATGTTTTACTAATTTCACTTTCTTTCATATTTCTGGAGAAGTCGATTACAGGAGATTTTGCTCTTGTGAAGGCATGGAAGGCTGATCGTGCAGGAAACATCATTTTCAGGTATGACTTGTTTACCAGTGGGAGAAGATTCTTTAATGGTTTAGATAATAAAAGAGAAGGAGAATCTTGTCTCCTGTGTGCTGGCAAAATAATGTTTTACTAATTTCACTTTCTTTCATATTGACAGAATGTAATTGCTTTTTCTAACGACTTTTGAGAATTCAGATACAGCTGTGAAATAAAACATTGGTAGTTGAAAATGAGACATAGCAGACCAAAGTCATTATGATGACTGTGGAGAAATGTAGTGACATTCTGTTCATTTAAATTTTCACGTTGTTTTGGATCCTTTTCCTTACACAACTGAAGGCTGACCCAAGAAGTGCGGGTTCATGTATGTCAGAAGAGAAGGGAGCTGAGTCAGTCTTCTCGCCAGTCAGTGATGGGAAAACTTGATTCTGTCCCCACAAAAGTGTGTTTGAAGTCGATTTGATCTCAGTGGTGTAGGAGAGGCATCATACGAATTTAAACATCCTTTGTAGTGAAAAGTTTGGGCGTTGCACTAGTGGTAACATCATTTATTTGATTTGCTGTATTTGTGCTCTGGTTTGTCCTAAACTGAAGCAGGAGAGGTTTGCTTATGTTTAACGTTTGGTTTTTATTTGTTTGTTTTATGGCTATCAGATGAAAAGGTAAGTGTTATGGGAATCAGTTGCAGTTTACTAGGAGAAGATGCTGAATGATGCAGTCTGTCTTTGTATGTATTAAAACAAACAAGGAGTTGAAAAAGCAACTGGAAAATATGCGGATAAATATGCAACTGATAAAATAATGCTTTTTTTGTGTATATATGTATAGATACACGTGTATTCACATAAATTTTTATCTATATATCTTATAATAATAATATTAAATTAAAGTACTTGAAAATTAAGAAAGAATTTTGTATTTTACCCAACTTTTGACATCCTGGCTTGCCCACTGGCAAGACAAGATGCTTTCTCATAGAAAACTGAACTTTCTTGTGTGTGTGCACATGAATTTGATGGCTGCTAAACTGCTTTCCTTACGCTCTGGGACATGGAATATAGGAAACAAGTCTTCCCCCTTGGGCTTGTCTTTGTTTGATCTTGAGCCTCTAGTCTCTGTGCTTTTACCCCGTATCTATCTACGGATGCTTACTTACCTCTGAAAAATTCTTTCATTCTCCACAGAAACAGACTGGTTGCGTTCTCCCTTTTTCCCCCTCTTCCTTTATGTCATATGGTCTCTCTTTATATCTTTCCCTCTCCCTCCTGTTCCTTTCAGAAGTCTTCATATGTCTCCCACATTCACACAATGCAGTTGATACCAGATACTACTTCCGTCCGGAGGAGACCTAAAAATCTTGACTCCTCCTTTCAAGTGTAACTAATCGAAGATGGAAACATCATGATCCAGTGTCTTATTCAATGTAGAGTATTGCTAGCTTAAAAGAATTTGCTCATAATAAGCAGTGACCAATTCTGTTTTTGCATGAGACACAGATTACCTTGTGGCCTACAACAGAGAAACATAGGCTTATCTCATATCCTGCGGGAGACAACAGATGAGGAAATGGTAATAGATTAGAATATTATAGCAATATTTCTGTGATCTACAAGATGAAAAGGAAAATGTATTTTTGACATCATGCTACATACTGAGCATGTAGTCACTGCCAGTGGGACCGACCCTTCCATACTTTTTTTATTATGTGACTTCTCGTCCTGGTTTTGGCTGGGATGGAGTTGATTTTCGTCCTATTAACTGGTATAGTGCTGTGTTTTGGATGTAGTATGAGATTAGTGTTGATAGCACACTAATGTTTTAGTGGTTGCTAAGTAATGTTTACGCTAGTCAAGGACTTTTCATCTTCCCGTGCCCTGCCAGGTGCGCGGGGGGCTGGGAGGGAGCATGGCCGGGACGGCTGGCCCAGCTGGCCAATGGGCTATTCCATACCATATGACATCATGCTCAGCTTATAAGGCTGGGCGAAGAAGAAGGAGGAGGGGACGTTCGGAGTGATGGCGTTTGTCTTCCCAAGTAACCGTTACGCGTGATGGAGCCCTGCTTTCCGGGAGGTGGCTGAACACCTGCCTGCCGATGGGAAGTAGTGAATGAATTCCTTGTTTTGCTTTGCTTGCGCGCGCGGCTTTTGCTTTCCCTATTAAACTGTCTTTATCTCAACCCACAAGTTTTCTCACTTTTACCCTTCTGATTCTCTCCCCCATCCCACCTGGGGCGGGGGGTGAGCAAGCAGCTGCGTGGTGCTCAGTGGCCGGCTGGGGTTAAACCACGACACTTCTGTTTTTGTTTGCTAAGGTATCCCTAGATAGGCATAGGCTCTGTGTTTATTCACATCTGCCACCACTTTCACAGCAGTGTGGTACTATTTATAGTGTGTTTCCCATGACTCTAGTATATGTGGAGCCAATAGGAGTGGAGTAAGTGTCTGCCAAACTGTTAATCACCCTCAGGCTAAGAGCTTTTTTAAATCTAAAAGATGTACTTTAGGTAGACTTATTTGGACCACAGGCCAGCATGAGTTTTTTGGTCTATTCTCATACATGAAGCTACACTGGTTTCTTGGGGATCCGGAATGGCACAAGTGCCTTTAGAAAGCAATTTTTCAAACAGGGTTTTCTACATGATACTTTGTGTCCCCTAGTTCTTTTGTTCCATCCAGCATGCTGTGGCTGCTTTCATTTCAGGCATGCTTATGCTGAGTGGACTATTCTGCACCACAGCTTTTGCTTAACAAGACCTGTATCTGGCCCAGTAGATAATAGTTCTTAGATGTAATGCACCATTACCAAGACAAATAATCCAAGATTCCCTCAAACATAATGAAATAATCCTGCCTTGTTCCTGTGCTAGCTGAAAGGATGTGTATATGGGCATTTTGCTTTGTTAATCTGATGCAGGTACTAGTTCTACGTAGCAGAACAGAGTGTCTCCAAGTCTTAAGCTCCCTTGGAGCTTTGCTTGTTAGGGACAACAGCAGGGAATTCTACTGCCTTTGTGGATATTCTGCCTGCTTTGGCTACCCTCCCTTTTCATCTGGTACTATTCTGCTTTGGAGTTGTTCTAGCCCAATACACTTCCACCTTACAAGAGGAGATATAGTTTGATGCCGATGAAAGTATGCTCTTGACAAAGGAACAGAGACGTTGAAGGGATAACCTGAGTCAGGACCTCTGCTGTCAAAGACAGTCATGTCAGGTCATCTCTTCATGCTTCAAGTGGTTCTGCAATATGTAAATTCAGCTCATATCTGAGGTGTCCCTTCATCTCTGCACCATTAGGTACGTAACGGATGTAGTTTGTTGGTTTAGTCTGCTAATGAATTAATTTGCTATGTTTTGCCTTTGGGAGAAAAGCTGTTGTCATGCCTTTGGGTCAGCTTAGGAATCCATCGCTGGAACAATGGACTTTGTAGACATTGCTGAGGCTAGATGTCCAGAAAGCTGTCTTAAAATAAAAAGGCAAACTTGGCTAACTAGTTTCTAGATTTCATATTCCAAAAACCTGAACATTATTCTGTGTTAGAAAATAAGTATACTGGTTTTGTTCTTTTATCTTCTGGATGATGTGTTCTTTAGAAATAAGACCTTTGATCTTGTAAAAGACTACTGCTTCTGAAACAACTTTACTAATCCAAGAACATTCTAAATTGCATAAGCTTGTATAAATGGGGTCAGAATCAAGCCCATTAACTCTTCTTAATTCGACATTGAAATGTTTTCTTACAACTTTTTCCCCTGTGTAAAAATAATTTTGTATCAGTTTCTTTTACTGGCAGACTGACCACTACAATCTTGAGAAAGTCTTTGGCTCAGAAAAGTAGTTGCTTGGGATGAAATACTGAATTTTTTGTTTCCACATCTGCCTTCCCCCACTGGTATCCATTCCCCTGCTATTTTAATTCAGCTTTTGTAATTCTGTTTTTCTTCTCATTTTCTACTCTACCTAGTTTAGGGTAGTTTTCCCTAAATCACTACTAGCTAGTATTGTATTCATGCACTAAGAGAAGAATATAAATTCAAGGGTTTTTTTTTTGTTTTTTTTTTTTTATGGTTTCCTCCTCTTACATCCTTTTGTGTTTACACAGCCACAGAGGAGACCCACGGACAAAAGATACTGTCCCTTCTGTAGCCTCTGTTAGAGGCTTCGCAGCTGCTGCGTATTGCCAATATAACAGGATTTTCCCAAGATATTTGTCTTTGGGTATAGCTTTGATTTTATAGGTCTCTGCACTAGAAGTCCTGTTAAAACTGCATAGTAGTCTCAGGATTTGGCCATTTCAATTCCCAACCTCCCCCAAAGCCGCGAGATGGCAGCAGCATCCCAAAGTTCAGTGTGGCTGTAGCATTAGGCATGGTCATCGCACAAAAGGGTGAAGAAGGAGGAGAAGGCGTTGGGAAATAAGGATGGTCAGAAGAAATGCTTCTGTGGAAAGAGGACGGGGGGAAAGGAGGTTTTGACTTGTTTTGAACCCTAGTTTCATGCATTTTGATGAAAAATTTTCAAGAATTCTACTTTTTAAAAGAGAAAAATGCTGAGATGCTGTCAGTGGAACCCCACTAAAATAGACATCATTTTTTCTTAAATATTATGCCACACAGTTTTGTTTGCTTTCTGAAAAATACAGAGAGGGGCTGACACAGGTCACTTGTTTTTCCTTGTGCCTACTAGAATCTCGGTGCAGATCCCAGCACTGTTATACACATCATGTGTTACTTTTATTCCCTAGAGTTTTTTTTTCCTTGTTACAGTAATACTGCGTGGGAATACTTAGGATGAACGCTGGAGTCTTGCAGCGCATGCCAAAACTGGCACAGCTTTTTTAACCGAGAGAGTTGGATTAAATTTACTACTGTGCAAAGTGCTATCCCAAGTCCTAATCTGAATTATGAAGGCATATGTGGGACTTGAGACCTTGTTAGGCCCTGTGCTGGCCCCTCTGGGGAGATTAATTTCATTCTTTGTGCAGTGAAATAATAGGAAGGTACATTGTACAAAGCCCAGCTTGCTGCTACTCTTGGATCTAGTAAGTGAAGACATCAGTAGCATACCCAATTTCAGTTAAACATTGTGCTGATTAAAAGTCAAAAGAGCTGTAACAAATATTTTCTAATGTAGCAAAATATGATTTAATTTCATATGCATCTTACACAATTCCGTAATACTTTTTCCTCCCTCTTGTTAGTCCTGTAGCTATTTAGTGAAAAGATGTGTGATTTTTTATTACAGAGATACTTGTAGTAGCTTATCTTTGAAAAGCCTTTCCTCGTACCATTACGGCTTTTAATATTTATTCATTTTCTTTTCTTTTGCAGGAAAACTGCAAGAAACTTCAACCAACCTATGTGCAAAGCTGCCAAGACAACTGTGGTGGAGGTAGGGAATTGAAACATAGTAAGCCCTATACCCTTGTAGTCAACAAACCCCTTTGTTTTGCATGGTATTCTGGGGACAGAGTTCTCCTTTTCTTGACTGATTGGGGGATTTCACACCAGGGACAATGGTCTAACCTGTCTCCTTGGATTGCCTGCTCCTAACACTATGCTCTGTTTTATGATTAGTTCACCATGGTTCCTCAGTTTATTACTGTTCGTCTGATCCTGGCCAGGACTTTGTGTTCGCTGTGATCAGCCTTTGCAAGGGAAACATGGCAACAGCCTTCAATTTTGTTAAATGAAGTAATATGTGGATGAAAGAAGAAACAGTAGGCTTAGGCTGTGCTTGAGAAAATTCACATAAGAATTTATGCAAAACTTCCTGATAATAAGGATAAATACATAACAACATAGATTGGGCAAATCATGGAGCTATTACAGTTGCAGGCTCTAAAATTTAATAAATTACATAAGTATCAGTCCAGAATGAGATACAGACATTTGGTTATGCCTTGAGAAAGAGGATGGACTAGATGATCTAGAAGTTTCTTCCAATCTTTTTGTCCTTTTTCCTTGTTGTCTAAAATGATAATGTTTAAAAACATAGAGCAGCCTACACTGGAAATATATTGGTGACTGGAGAGTTGCTAAGGCATAGCAATATCTAAAAGATAGACTGCTCTATTAGCTTTTCCATCACTCTCTGATAAGTTTTTTTATGTGCTTAATAAAAGCTAAATATGGTTTGACAGTAAGATCAAGACAAACTCTTCTAGACTATTTCTAGTAAATTCTGAATGGAAGAGTCTTGTGTTTCTTCAGGGTTTTCGTTTTGTTTTGGTTTTTTTGTTCGGGGTTTGGTTTTATTTTGTTGGTTGTTTTTTTTTTTTTTGTAAAATCTTATATGGAAAATACATAATACATTTGGAAACCTGAGTTATGTCTTTGTGTTTTACAGAACTATGGCAAAAAATACCGTAGAATTTGTCACACAACTTACAGTGACCATTCAGCAACAGTACATGAATTTTCACAGTTGGTTTTCAAGAAAGTTTTAAAATATTTTTCTGTTTAAAAACGAAATAAAGAATCTTTTATCATTCCTTTTCCTTCTAGTCACTTGCCCTTCATAGTTTGTTCAGTCTGGCATTTAAAGAATTCCACCTACATTCCATCTCATTCTTTCTTGCTGCTTTTCTATCCATGTGTGATAGGGTAGAATTTTCTTGTCAGTGAGCAGCAATTATGTGACATCCTTCTTGCTATAATTCCACTTAACACTCTTTAGTAGATCTGCTGTGAACTGTGTCCATCCTGAGTCTTGTTGCATTTTCAATACCATTTAAAAACTGACAAGCTTTTTGCAAGATGGCACATGAATATTACTTTACAACTGTAGTTTTTTATGGACAAATCAATGGGTGAAGAGGCATAACCAGAGATTTAGGACAAATAGATATTTTGAGCCAAATACAGTGCCTCATTGACTTAACTTTTAAGTGTCTTTCTTCCAAAGTGGAATTCAGAATGTTGTGTTTGGATTTAAGAGTTCAAACCCAGGGAATCGGAAGGAGATATCTCGATATGGCATCCTCAGTACTGAGCATTGTCAGCCTGTAACTGTCTAGAGCTAGTCACTCAGGAACTGAGGCAACTGAAAAGAGTTTTGCCTGACTCCTTAGTTAATTTTGTTCAAGGCTGAAGCGTGAAATTCTCAATCCCACTTGCAGGGAGAGGAAAAAACTTTGTGTAGGGTAGTAATTCGGATACTCTCTGGGCAGCAGGGATTTCTGAATTCTGGTATCTGTTCCCAGCTCTGTTTCTGTTTTTCACCCACTGACCATTTAACTTAATTTAAGCAGATTGTCCTAGAAGTAGAAATTTGAAGCCATCCCTGCTCCTTTCCATCAAACTAGCTACAGGTCAGACTTGTCTTCAGAGTCATGCAGTGATTAATTGGGATTTGCAGGACTGTAGTTTCTCAGTCTGGCGCTCCCATCCCGATTTTGAACGTGGAGCTTTGTACCTGTTATGCAACCAGACTTACGCTGCTAACATCTGCTTGTCTAGCACGGAACACCAAGCTGAGGCAGATAACTAGAAAAAATTAGAGGTATACCCCTCTGTGTTTCTGATTTTTGAGTTGCTGAAATTTTTCCTTTAAAATGAATGCTGTAAAACCACAGAAAAAAAGCGTTGTTGTTCCTTGTAGCTACTCTGATGGGTATAAATAACCCATTCCCTTTTCTGATTATCTGTGTATATGTAGTTTTATCCAGTCCTTTAGAAGCAATATCTTTTTCAGGAACAAAACTTCGTTTGTAAAACTTTACGTTAGAAGGATGGGTGCTAGGCCATTCACTTCAATCACTATTAAGCTCAGTAAGTACATTCAATCAGAGTGTAACTTGAATTTTGGAAGATAGGTTTAATCAGAAAGTTATCCTGCTTTGATGCAAACAAAACAAGAGATGGAAAACCCATCCTTCTGTTTGTGCTTGTTGCAGTGGTTAATCACCCTCACTGGTATAAATGTCTTTTTACTCTAATTAGTTTGGCTTTAGGTTCCATCCAGTGCTTTTACTCTCCTCTGCTAGATTAAAAACCTTTCTGAAGCTGGCATTTCCTTCCCACTGAGTGACTTCTCAGCGCTGTTGATATGATGAGCAGATTGAGGTCTTAATGATTCTAACTGTAAAACATTTTCTTCAGCTCTCCTATCCTTTTTAAGTCCATCTTCTCGCTCTGTTTTTTTTCTGAAACTTTAAAAGTGTGACCAGCTGGAGCGTCTTGAGCATTGTAACACTGCCACCACTAATGTCACCTGAAAAGTAGAGTTACTCTTTGGTCCTGCTGCTTCCTTGTTTGCATACCTGTACTCTTTGCTGATCATTATACAGGGGGTCCTACAGCGTTAGTTGCTTACACCTTGTTGATCTGTTTCCGGCCTACTTCAGGAAAAGTGTAATCAGTGTTTTCCAACATGCATTCTGTAAGTATGGCAGGTATTTCTTGATCACAGATGTCTAACTTCGTGTTTTGTTCTGAAACATGTTGTGTTTGAATAGACCCAGTTTACCTGTTGTGTCTCATACTGCCACTTCCTTCTTAGGATTTATTATTTCACCAATCTTTCCCCAGATTTCTTTTAGTTTCTGATAATTGATAAAAATATGGAATGGCACTTGGCATAGTAAGATCCTTACCAAGGGAAATGTAAACTACTGGAAATCCAATCTCAAGGTATCCGTGAACTTGGTGAAAGTGGCAATTGCACTGGGAATCAATTGCATTTGTTAACCTGTCCTTCTAAGTTAATGCGAGGAGCTGTGATGTCTCCTGACATGCATACACAGTAAAAGACACTTTTTTCTTTAATGTATTAAAGCTGCTGTTTTCTAGTTTAAGTTAGTGTGGCATTTTTCACTCTTTCAGCTAAAGTACAGACACATAATTTTTGTAACAATTCAGAGGTGGGAGAACTTGGCAGCATTTGCAGATGTGGAGGATAAGAGTAGAGACAAAAAAACCCCACCTCACAAACCCACAAACGGATAACTATTTCTTGCTTAAAAACTCTCCCATGTTGTGAGGAACGAGGCTGGCTGTGCGTAGAGAGGCTTCTGAAGGAAGAAGACGACAGGCTGTACTGTTACCAGTTATGTCTGTGGCATACAGTGGGGACTTACTGATCTTTAAAATGCCCCTAGAACAAATTTCAGATTAAAGTGTCTGGCCCTCAGCCTTGTTTATTTTGACTAGGCAAATGATCAGAAGTAGCTGTTCAGTACCCTTTTTGGGATCAGAAATACAATGATTGTGAACTTCTAATGAAATGTAAGAGGTGTTTACTGACCTGCAGAAATATTTTGGACTGTTAGATGCAGTTCTTTTGTTTATCTAAGTGATAGGGTGCAGAACCTGCTAACATTCATGATAATAAGGATGTATGCTGAGGCACAGATAACTAACTATCTATGAAGATCCAACTGCGCTGAGTCCAGTGGAATTTCTACTTTAATTTAAAGATGATCAGTATTAAGGGTCAAAAAGAAGTTTTCAATTGAATTGCATGATTCCTGTTACTTGGAAGGTAACCTTTGCAGAGAAAAAAGTTAAAAAATGCCGTATTGGCAGCATTAGTGGTTTGGCTTTATCTATATGTGAAAGCAAAATGATGCAGGTGTTTGTTTTATAGTTCTTCTACAGCGTTGCATTTAAAAAAAGTTCTCTGTTCATCTGCTTCTAACTTCGTCTTGCAGAACTTGCAGGAGTTAAGTATGCAGTCAGAGCTGTAGCTTTGTTTGGACCTCAGCCCTCACGCGTGCACTCAACCTGAGGCTTTCAGTTGATTTTCAGATCTATAAACACTTTCCTGCTCCTATTGCAAAGATGGGAGAGTCGGGAAATCAGCCCATCTAAAAGGAACTCAGCGGTCACAAGTTATATACAAGCCACCAGGCCTTGTAAAGGTGCAGAGGAAGGGCTTGGCATGTGAAGAAACTTGAGGGCTTGTGTGGTCTTATCTATGTGGTAACATTTCCAACACTCTCTGTTGAATGAAGGACACGTCTGCTGAATTCAGCAGGTGGCACTGCTGTCAGAACCCTCAACAGGCACGTTGCATTTTGTGATGGGAAATGAAATGTGTAGCAGCTTGGAGTTACAGGGAGGCCTGGATGTCTGCCTAGACTGCTAAGGCTGTGATATTAGGATGCTTCCTAAGATGTGCATCTTCCTGTAGAAGCTCCTGTGAGCAGAGGGAGGGACACCTTTTGATGATGACGCCTTTTTTTTGGAGAGAATCGAGGCAACCCAAAGCCACAGGAAAAAACATGGTGTGACCTTGCCAGGTGTGGGTGTCATGATAGCACAGGAGAGGTGAAGGGTGATACAGGCTTGGGCTCTTGCTCTTTGCTATGGAGGAGTACATAAACATCTGTAACAACTCCAAATGTCCCTAAGCTGTTACCTGTTTTCTTGCCATTGTTACTCTCTGCT